GTTCGGATCGATGGCACATGCACTTTCTGAGCAGCACTTCAAAACATATGAAGAAGTGGAAAACTGGGTCTCTGAATGGTTTGCCTCAAAACAAGAAAAGTTCTATCGGGACAGTATCCACAAATTTCCTGAAAGATGGGGGAAATGTGTACCTAGAGATGGACATTACTTTGAATAAAGCACTTTTGACATTTCTCTTGAAATTATCATGTTCCCTTTGATTACAAAATCCACCATTATTAACCGGTACACCTAGTAGACCAACACAGAGAAACCGACAAAGGAATTCGAGAGAGGGGAGCGACCCACGCGTGCGTGCACACACACCACCACCACCACCATCCCAGCACCCTCCTCGGCATGCTCATGCCCGGAGAGAAAAACGGGACCACCACAGGGAGAGACAGAAACTCTAAGAGACAGAGGCCCCCGAGCCCTGATAGATAACCCCAAAGCACATCCCAAGAGACAGGGACTAGGAAAGAAAAAGGCCCAAAGAGAGACAGAAAGAGAAATGAAGGGAAGGAAGCAGAGAAGGAGACTGACTCAGAGATCAAGAGAGAGAGATCTTAAGCTCAGGGGCAAGAAACATATCGCTGTGTTACTAGAATTCTAGAACACTCAAATATTCATCCCAGAATCATTATATCATATTAATTTTGTTATTTGCACACCAACTTTCACTATGAAAATTATACAAAATAATCTATTAAAGGTCTAAACATAAACAATTCAATACAAAATGAGGAATGAGGTTTAACCTGTTTTTGCCCAATTGCTTTTTAATGTGAAGTATTTTACATTTTTATATATTTCTGCTATAAAATATTTTACATATCCAAAAATGCATATAGAATAAACTGCCAAGTTCCTACATCCCACTTTTATCCAATTATAACACTTGTTAAATCTGCTTCTGATGCACCTGAAGACTACTATGTGATCCTACCCAATCACATTCTTCTTTTTCTCCCTCCTTTTAGAGAGGTAACTAAAACTTTAAAGTCTATGTTTATTATTTCTGTGTATGTTTAATATTTTCACAATATCTGTATCCCTAAACTGTACCTTACCTTTTATGTTTTTAAACTATAGCAGGTCCTTGAATAATGTTGTTTTGTTCAAGGTTGTTTTGTTACAATATTGACAAGATACTACAGGAACTTAACGCTTGTTTACATCAATTTGCCTAGGGTAAAATTGGTTTCATTACGCATCATTTTGCTTAAAGCCACAAAACCGACCTAGCCAGTTTAGTTCAATGGATAGAGCATCAGCCTGTGGACCGAAGGGTCCCGGGTTCAATTCTGGTCAAGGGCACAAGCCTCAGCTGCGGGCTCCTCCCTAGCCCAGGCCCTGGTTAGGGCTTGTGTAGGAGGCAACCAATCGATGTGGTTCTCTCACAAAATATTTCTCTCTGTCTTTCCCTCTCTCTTCCACTCTCTCTAAGTCAATGGAAAAATATCCTCAGGTGAGGATTAAAAATACAAAAACAAAAACAAAAAACCCCCCAAACCTTTAAAGTTGCAAAACCTATGTGGTGTTATATTTTTCCAGAATGTTGTCTGCCAGCAAAAAATTATGCTTATGATTTTTTAAATTATCACTTTAACCATACTTATTTTATAGTCTTTATAAAATAGTTCTATTATCTGAGGTTCTTAAGAATTGAATCATGCTGTTTGTTTTGTGTGCTAACTTTCATCAGGTTGACTGCTAACTTATTTTGTTTCTATCTTTACCTATGGTTAATTGTTTCCTCTCATACCCTATATTTTTTATTGTGATTTCCCTTTCAGTGTAGCTGTAATATGGGAGAATCTTGGTAGCTCAGGTTGAGGTCATTCATCTCCACAGTGATTCTCCAACTGCTTCTGCAAGTGCTCCAGGGAATTACCAACCCAGAATTACTTTTGAGGCTAGTATGTCAGCTTGAGATTTTTAGACTATATAAGTAATATAAATTCAAACCATAAACTATGTGAGGGAAAGCCCATGATTATGAATCCAAGGAAGCAATTTTTCCTAACCCAGAGCTGAGGGTAAAACAAATAAGCTTTCTTGTCTTTTCCCTGGATTGAAGGGTAATATTTTTTCTTATCCTATTCCTCCATGGAATATGTACCCTTTAAAGAAATTATGGATTAATCTGGATTCTAAAAACTCTCCACCTTATAAATGGTTCAAGGCCTAATATCCTATCTCTGGATAGATAAAAACCAAAATTGCTAGTATCAAGAGTAGCATATCCCTATAGCATACCTTCTTGAACTTACTGCTTATTAGCTCCCTCTTTTTCTGTCTGCGTGCTAGTGATTTTCATTACATTTAGCAGGCTGATTATGCATTTATACTAAAACCACAATGAACTACTGCCTAAACTTTTCACATATCTGCAAGGTTCCATACCTATCCTTAAATGTATTACTTTCTTCCCCTCTTTGCCTGTAAACTTCTTACTTATGCTTTACCATCCTTCAAGAGTAAACTAAAATTTCATCTAAGAAAAGCCTCCTTGTAAGGTTGGCCTGTGGCTACTGTCTGGGAACTTCAATGGTAAATAGTTTCCTGTACTAATATAAAACTTTCCCTGATAAGAGGGGCTCACTGTGTCTAGATTGTTTGTACAAACAATGTGGTTTATTCTGAACACCTATTTTCTTTCTGGGAGTCTGGAATTTGGTAAGAGCTCTGTGCTGTGTATATATACATAACAACAGTGACTTAATCAAAGTTATTCCTAAATATACACTCTAGATATTACAAAATGTTTACAAGGTAAGGCACAAAAAAAAAAATACAAACAAACAACTTTACCCCAAATTTCTTTTCTTATTTTCTGATCTCTGTCTATAACTTTTGGTTATTTTATTTTATTATTATTGTTTTGGTTTTTTTTTGCTTAATCCCTTCACCTTTCTTCACTCATCACCCCTACCGCCAACAGCTGTCAGTCTGATCTCTGTATCTCTGAGTCTGTTTCTATTTTGTTTGTTAGTTTATTTTGTTTATTCCCCATATAAGTGAAATTGTATCATGTTTTCCTTTCTCTGACTGGCCTATTTCATTTAGCATAGTACCTCAAGGTCCATCCATGCTGTCCCAAAAGGTAAGATTTCCTTCTTTTTAATGGCTGAGTAGTATTCCATTGTGTAAATGTACCATAGCTTTTTTTATACATTCATCTACTAATAGGCACTGGGCTGCTTCCAAATCTTGTCCATTGTAAATAACACAGCAATGAACATAGGAGTGCAAATATTCTATTTTTTATTTATTTTTAAACTGAATTTATTGATGATATTGGTTAATAAAATTATATAGGTTTCAGGTGTACAATTCTGTAATACATCATCTGTATATTATAATGTATATTTACCAACCACAGTCAAGTCTCCTTCCATCTCCATTTATACTTCCTTTACCCTCTTCTACCTCTCCTTACCCCTGTTCTCCTCTAATAATTACCATACTGTACGGGTACAGAAAACACTACCCCCAATTTCTTGAGGCATTTTTAATATATATTTAACTACCATATTTACAGCAAGATACACTGTAGTTTTTTTTTTTAAAGTAGCATATCATTAAAATAGTACTAGTAGAATGGTAAGCTCCATGAATGCATTTTGTTCACTGATATAACCAAAGCTGCTACAGCAGTGCCTGGCTCATAGTAAGCACTCAACAAATCTTTGTTGAATGAACAAATATCATATAATAGTGCTAATAATATGGTCCTACATCACATACAAGGATTCTATCACAAAAGCTGATATCCATACAATAAATTATATACATTATAAAATGTACTCTAATAATACCAAGATAATTAATAAACTGAATATTTTAAAGTAGTTACACAGCAAATTTCACATCATAAAACTGTCCTTCTAAACCAATATTAAAACACAGAAAAAGACAGCTGATTCTCACAGCCAGTTGGCCTGGAGATCAAATCCCCGCCAGTATTACCTACAACAATCTGGCTTAACTACAACAAGACTGCACATAAAGGCCACTAGGGGTT